TTTAATCTAAACCTAATTAAGAAAATAATTAATTAAAAATTAACAAAATTAAACTTAAACTAATTAAGAAAAGAAATTAAGTTAAAAATATTTTTAGGGTTTTTTATGAAATGGTTTTAAATTAAGGAAAATAATATGGAAATTAATTAAAATAAACTTAAGTTCTAAATTAACTTTAAGTAAGAAAATAAAATAATATAATAATTAAACATAAGTCTAAAAATTAAATTATAAAAGAAATAAATTAATTTGTTAAGAAAATGTTTTTTAGTCTTTTGTTTTATTTACAAATAGGATAATAAGCATGAAAATTATAATAATAATAATATTTTTGGATTTTTTACTAGTAAAGATAAAAATAATAATAATAATAATAATAATAATAATAATAATAAAAATATTAAAGGAAAAAAAATAATGAAATAAAAAAAAGAAAAAAGAAATAATAAAGAAAAATGGGCTAGGGGTGTAAAAGTAGTCAGATGTTAGCAAAAGAAAAAAAGGAGAAGCCCATTTGTTTAGAGGCCCAGCGCCTGTTTCAAAAAAAATGGAAAGAAAATGTGAAAAATAGGCAAAAGGGAACACTGAGGCTCGAACCCAGGTCCCTAAGGTGACAGGTGCGCGCTTTAACCACTGGGGTGGTGATACACCTGTTAACTTAAACAAAACAACAAATATATAATACAAATCAAGTCCTGAATGAAATTCATCTTTAACCTCCAGCCAAAGGACCTGTTACTTAATCATTTCTCATCAATTCACAAAACTTCCAACATCAAACTTGTTAGAAATTTTCTCACGATTCTGAATATGTAAATAACTTAAGCTAATTCTCAAAGATGAGCATGAATTTCTAACAGTACCAAATTCTAACCTAAATATTTTCAAAGGTTCAAACTCAAAATTCTCCCTACTCAAGCAACATAAATGAAATCTATGGACATGTATAGTTTCAGGGCAATAATGTCTATATTTTATCTTCACAAATGCAAGCCTAACAATGCCTAAATAAGGAGATGGAAGTTCAAGAAAAATACCTTAAAATTGGAAATCATGAAATGAGTTTGAGCTTGTTTCAAGTGATGGTGATGATCATGTTAGCTCCCTTGAACCCCTAGGAAGCTAATGCAATATTTGGCTTGATCTGAGAGTAGCTGGAATGGTCTGGAGAAGTCCATCTTGTATTATGATGAAAAATTTGCTCAAAGTTGTGAAAAAATATGAAGTTTTCAACACTTAGAAAAATTTCTGTTTAGAAATTTTGATTTTTCAAAATGAAATCTTGACTTTTTGATTTCTTGATGAACAAGTTTCATATTTTGATATGTTTTGATGAATTGTGATCTTTGACACTTGATTTTGACTAAAACGTCAAAGTTTGACTTTTCAGTGTACAGTTGACTTTTCATCAATTGACTGAAACTCAATTGTCAATCAATTGATCTTGAGCAATGTTTTGAGCCATGCCACTAGGTCAAAATGATGTATTTGAACCCTTGAGATCATGCCTTAAATCAATCAATCATTTGCTAGGTCAAAAATCAAAAATTGCATCTTCTTAGTCAAAACCCTAATTTTGACCATTTTGCCCTTTTGATGATCTGATCAAATTTCTTGAGGAATTGTGATCCAAACTTGATGAAATGACATATATGAGTTCATAATGTTGATATGGACAAAACATTATGAAGTTTGACCGTAAATTGACCACAATTGACTTTTTCCCAATACAACTAATTTTTAGGTCAACTGATCAATTGACTGAGCAAAAATGTGATCCAAGACTTGAAACTTGACATGAGAAATATTGAAGGTCCAAAATGATCCATGAAATTCATATGAGGCATTAAAAGTCCAATTGTCCTTGTGCAATCTCAAACCCTAATATTCAGTCATCAATGCTTGAGGAGGTGTCTTGAGCTGATCAACCCTAGTGCAGTCTTGAACGAAAGGAGATATTGTGAGAGATTACTTGATAAATGAGAGGGAAAATTTTGGAGTACAACACATAGTTTCTATATATGGAGACATTTTAGGAAACTATTGATTGGAGACCAATAATCTTGGAGATTAATATGCAGACCTTTTGCAGCCTCATTGTTGCGGTTTTGAAAGCCTAACTCACTCTATAATAATGTTATAAATAGACTGGTGTATACCTAGTTTTAATTGGAACTTATATGTGTATTTTGTTAGGATTTTAGAATCCTTATTTATTGGGTGGCAAGTTCCGTATCAAATGTTCTTAAGCTTTTAAGCATAGAACATTCGTGTGTTAGGTACTCACAAGTTGTGAAGCGTTGAGTACTTTTGTGTCAATTCTCATAAGCATTTAAGAATTGAGTTTTGTGCGTCTTGGATGAGTGACTCCCGGTTATTTTCTCTACTTGTATTAGAGTGTCTCCAATTACTGTGTGCAATTGAAGATGGATTTGAGGAGGGCCTCATATCTAGGTGTGTCTTAGGTAGAAATTAGGCAAAGGATAATGATTAAGTGCGTAGGATGTAAACTGGATGTTTGCTGTGAGGCCTACAAATTAATACTATCTAGTTGATTTCGTCTCTGGCTTGGTAGCCCCTAGAGTAGGAATTGTTGTCTATGAACTGGGTAATCATATCCTGTGTTATTTAGTTTCAGCATTGTTTTATTTCGTATATACATCTTGTTGTTTTGTGTGAAGTCGGATCTGGTGTCTCGACATCTATTTAGACATATGGGATTTGTCAGCTAGAATTTCAACTTTGAAGTGTTTATGCCTGTAGCTAGACTTAAAATAATGAGATTGGTTATTGCTATAGCTTCAAATAAAAATTGGCCTCTGATGCATCTGGATGTGAAATATGAATTTCAAAATGGACCTTTACAAGAAGAGGTATACATGTCACAACTTTTTGGATTTGTGAAAAATAATCAGGAAGGGATGGTGTACAAGTTACAAAAAGCGTTGTATGGACTGAAGCAAGCTCTTAGAGCTTGTAATCTGAAAAATTGATTCATTTTTCAAGCTGCAACGATTCAGAAGATGTGATATGAAGTATGGCGTTTATGTTCAACATACTTTTGAAGGAAATAAGATTCTAGTGTGCTTTATGTTGATGGCATATTGCTAACAGAGAGTTGTTCTGATGAGATATTCAAGTTCAAGAAGGTGCTGATGAATGAGTTTGAGATACCTGATTTGAAAAATATGGTATATTTTCTAGGGATGAAGATTATGTACTTTGAGAAGGATATAATTTTGCATCAATTGAAGTATGAACTTGAGCTTTTGAAGAGATTTTAGGTAACAAATTACAAGACTGCAATCACACATGCTGAGACGAATCACAAGCTAGATTCAGATACTGAGGGTGCTTATGTATATGCTATAATTTTTTAATAGTTAGTCGGCTCATTAAGATACCTTTGTAATATCAGATCTGACAGTTGTTATGCAGTTGAAATGATGAGTAGGTTTATGAACAAACTAAAGTGGTTACATTAACAAGTTACTGTCAAGATGCTAAGGTACATTAAAGAGACTCTGAGGTATGACGTGTTGTTCCTTTATGGTCTTAAATCTGACTCAGAGATGATATGTTGTTCAGACTCTGATTAGTGTGGAGACAAAGTTGATAGAAGAAGTAGTTTTGGATTTTTGTTCAAGTATCTGGAAAACCCTATTTCTTGGTGCTCCAAGAAGCAACATGTGGTTGAATTGTCAACCTGTGAAGCTGAGTACATTGCAAGTGCTTTATCTGTGTGTCAAATTGTTTGGTTGATGAATTTGTTGTAGGATCTGAAGCTCAAGGTGAGTAAGTATGTGAAGCTGATGATAAACAATAAATTTGCCATAAGTCTTTCCAAAAATCCATTGTTGCGTGGGAGAAGCAAGCACATTGACACGGAGTTCTATTCTCCAAGGAAATCAAGTCCAAAATTGAGTGCTAGAAATTGTACACTATAGCACTCATAAGCAACTTGCAGAGTTTCTAACGAAAACTGTCAAGACTGAACACTTTGTTCATTTGAGGGATGAAATTGGTGTTGTAGAATTTAGTTAGCTAAATATGAATTAAGGGATGGTGTTAGAAGTAATTCATATTCAGAAGCAATGTTCTGACTCGGAAGTAGTAGCTTCTGAGGTTGTTGTTCCAGAAGTTGTGCTTAACTTCTAATGTATTATTTTGTTAGCCTATTTTAGTAGTGTCTATGTGACATGATTTGCTTACGTGTCATTTTGATTTTGGTGTATTAAAACAACTCTTGTAACTAATTTCAAAAATGAATGTAATGCAGTAATAGAGTTTCTTTCACAACAAATTTGTTATAATCATTTTCTCTCTTCTCTTTATCTCCCTTCTTTCACTTTCATCTTCATCTTCAACGTTATGCTCCAACACTAACAATCTTCTAAATCCACTTATCAATATTAAAAAAAAAACTCTAGAATGACAGAGAAGAATTCAACGATAAATAATTAACACACAATGTTTGGGTGTTTAGTGTTAAGCCAATTTTTGTTGTATTATTAATGGAAAAAAGGTTTACATTACACTATAACTTGTATTTAAATACTATAGTCTAGAATACAACAGTATCGCTGAATTTGCCTACATGTGAGTAATAGTGAACATGTCAAAGAAAATTAATTGGACTATCTCATACACATTTAACATATTTTTTATACAAATGCGGATTTGAAAAATAAAGCTAAATCTAGACCGTCCATTCTAGGTGTAAAATCCCTAACTTGATTATGAAGAAAAAAAAATTTGTAAGGAAAAGATTCATCATCTGTATCCAATAAATTTTTCAACAAAAAATTAATTACTATTATAAAAGAGTGGTAGATATCTCTAGTGCTAAAGAGGAGTAGATATTTCTATAAAAAAAAACATCACAATAAATTGAGCACTATATATAAGTGACTTAACATCCTGCATCAAATGCACATTTCACCACTACCTATAGTTGGTATTAATTTCTTTGAGACATTAATTCCAATTGAAAAAAACAAATGAATAACATTATTCTTTCAATATTTCTTTGTGTGTTCATCACCTTGAGCTTTGGTGTTGAACAAATTGAAGCAGCAAGAGCATTTTTTGTTTTTGGTGATTCACTTGTTGACAATGGAAATAACAACTACCTAGCAACTACTGCTCGTGCCGATACATATCCTTATGGAATCGACTCCGAAACTCATCGAGCTTCCGGTCGATTCTCCAATGGCCTCAACATGCCTGATCTTATCAGTTGAGTGAAAGTGCTAGTGCTTATTTTTTTTAAAATTTTATGATAATAATAATTTAAAGTTACTTATATAGTTTTACTAACTTTCATCTAATTAAAGTGAGTATATATTATATATTATGAATGTGATAGGTGAGAAAATAGGGTCAGAACCAACATTGCCATATTTGAGTCAAGAGCTTGATGGTGAGAGATTACTCATTGGTGCTAACTTTGCTTCTGCTGGAATAGGAATTCTCAATGACACTGGAGTTCAGTTTGTAAGTCTCATTAAAGTTTTTTGGTTCTTTTTAATAACATGAAAACCGTTGCTAAATGTAATTACGGTAACGCATTATAACCGTTGCTAAATGTAATTACGGTAACGCATTATAACCGTTGCTAAATGTAATTACCGTTGCTAAAACGCATTGTAACCGTGGCTAAATGTAATTACTGTCTAATTATTGAAACTTAATTTTTGCAGATTAATATAATCCGAATTACCGAACAATTAGCATACTTTAGACAGTACCAACAAAGGGTTAGTGCACTAATTGGAGAAGATGGTGCACAAAAATTAGTGAACCAAGCATTGGTACTAATAACCTTAGGAGGGAATGATTTCGTGAACAACTATTATTTGGTTCCGATGTCAGCAAGATCTCGTCAATATGCTCTTCCCGATTATGTTGTTTTTCTCATTTCCGAGTATCGCAAAATTCTCAGGGTACATTCATATCCTTCTGCTTCTCTTTATTATCGTCGAATATATATATTTTTTCGAAGATTTATTATTATAAATTAAATATGTATTTAGTCTCTACAAATGTATAATTTTTTTCTCTCAAAGTTTAAAATTAGTGTAGCACTTGAAATTCCAAATTGATAGTTTACAATTGAAGTCTATATATCTATAGATTAGTCACTGTTCAATCGTGATAAAATAAATATGACTCTTATTTAGCTTCAGTTTAACCAGAATAATTTTATTATGAAACCTATTTAAAAAATGTTTTAACCGTGACAAAGTTTTGACATTATGTTTTAGTCCACCTTATATATTCTCAAAAAGATATGATAATTTACTATGTATTATTTTTTTCTACTAGGGCTTATAAGGAATAGTATTTTTTTTATAGATATGATAATTAATGTTTGACATGCATGTTATGGTAAGATTCAATTGGTAGTTGAAAATTCAACAATAAATATTAAAATCCACATAAATTCCACCACCAAATACATAACCATATAGTAAAATCTCACAATTAATGCTCTTACATATCCTTCTGTATTTTCCATACGTACATCCATCATTATCATTTTTCAGACTCTAACAAACAATTCATACCAATTGTGTTATAACATTGAATTAAATGCACACAGAATCTGTATGAATTAGGAGCAAGAAGAGTTTTGGTGACAGGGACAGGACCATTAGGTTGTGTACCAGCAGAATTAGCTATGCATAGTAGAAATGGAGAGTGTGGTGCAGATCTTCAAACAGCTACTAATTTGTTCAATCCGCAACTTGTTCAACTGATTAATCAACTCAACTCCGAAATCGGTGGCCCTAATCATGTCTTCATTTACGCTAACGCTTTCGCTATGCATTTGGATTTCATTTCTGATCCACAAGCATATGGTATACACTTCAGACTTCATTTAATTAATTATAACTCAGTTGATAGCTGAACAGAGACATTAATCCATATATTGCAGAGTTGCTAGTTCGAACCTGTGACACGCTGCCTGTTAGGTTACCAGACTAAAAATAAAACATATTTATAAATTTGAATTTTTTTTAATGCAGGATTTGTGACATCAAAAGTAGCATGTTGTGGTCAAGGAGCATACAATGGAATTGGACTATGTACACCAGCTTCTAACTTGTGCCCTAATAGGGATGTCTATGCATTTTGGGACCCTTTTCATCCATCAGAAAGAGCTAATAGACTAATCGTTGATAAATTTATGACTGGAGCTACTGAATACATGAACCCAATTAATATTAGTACAATTCTTGCTTTAGATTCTAGGGTTTAATTATGATTTTTAAAAAAAATATTCTAGGACCTATAATACTTCATTAATATTAGGGTGTGGTTGTGAAGACCTTATCTTTGGGAATTTATTGTATGCTTGATTGTTTAAGCCTTTTTGAGGGTGTTTGTGTCAAGAAAAATAACTTTGGGGTTAAGTGGCTTGTTGTTTTTGCTTTTGATTGGAGTTCAATTTTTCTATTAGTTAGTATTTTGCAAATATGAAAAAGAAATAAAAAAATAGATCTTTATAATGCACAAGTTTTCTTTAAAGTGAAAAATATTATTTTAAAAAGTAACATGACTATATCAATGGTAAATGAAATAAGTAGATATTAGATGTACATAGATAATAAATTATAAACGATTAAAATATCAATAATTAAATTTCTCCATTTACTAACTAAATACTTGTTTTTTAGGAGTCAAATCCATTTACAACCGACTAAAGATAGCCGACGTGAAAAGATGAATGAATTTTGGAATAGTCTTTCATATAATTGATAGGACTTTTCATTTTAATTTATTCAGAATTTTATGAGAGTTTTAGCAGTAGGATCATAAAGACTTTCTCTATGTATTTTGTTTATTTTCTTAGACACAATTTAAATTTAAATACATATTCTCTTTAATAAATGTTGGAAGTTACAAATTCCTTTTATAAGATTTTTTAGAATTTTTTTTTTAATAATCAGGTATTGAAAAAAATCGCAAATAACCATGTTTCGGAGAAAATTACGCAAATAATTATGTTTTAGAAAACTCCACAAAGAAGGAGTCATCTCAATTGGTGTCTACACATTGTTTTAAATGGGAGGCGCCATCTCACTTGACGCCTAGGTGTTAAATGTGTGCCCTAAACCAAGTGAGATGGCGCCTTAGTGCAATGGGGAGGCGATTTTTTGCGTTTTTTATTTTAAATACGGGACGTTACGTAAACGATATAGGATCACGAAAATTCGACTTTTTATTTACACAATACGATTACACAAAACAATTACATAAAAAAAATACAAAATAATCAATGGTCCCCCGAAACCCGGTAACGACCCGCGGTTCCGCATCCGCGTCCTAGCCTTTCCCGTGGTGGGTTTCGTCGCATTTCCTATTGTGGCAGGATCGACGGCTCAGCGAAGTCAATGCATTTCGGATTCATAAAATCGGTCAGATCTTCATATCTAGAAGATCCGCTTTAGTACAGTCGGTTACCCATACCCTCAAAGTTTGGTCGTCTTGGTGGTGGGTGGGATTCCATGGTTAGTCTATAGCACTGGTCATCTGAGTAAGGGGGTAGAAAGGAAATGAATCCTAGGGTGTTTGGTATTGGGAATGTTGGGTTCTTTGGTGATGTGGTGGTTGATGGTAAGTTGGATTGGTTGGGTCATAATCTTCGGAAAATCACAGATCAAGGCTAATGTTAGATGTTGAGGGGTCCATATTGGGATATGTAGAAGATTGGAATTGTGTGTGGGGCATGCGGGTGTATTGATGTTGTGATTGAAATTGTGGTTGTGTATGGGGCATATGGGGGTATTGGTATTGATGTGGTGATTGTGGTTGGTTGTGGGGCATGTGGGTGTATTCGTATTGTGGTGGTGATTGTGGTTGGGTGCTTGTGGTTCTATATCTTCGGGGAGGTTGGTGGGAGGTTGATGTGTGTTGGGTTTGTTGTTGGGGAAATGAGAGTTGTGTCAATTGTGTTCATGGATCAACCAAATACATTGGATGAGACACGTGTATTTTTGGGTTACTAACCGATCTGTACCAAGTTAAATATTGATTCGTGTGTCGTATATTGTGATACGGTGGGAGAACTGACTTGGGTGTTTTGTGTTTTATCGCAAATGTTGCGGTTAGCAAGAGTCTTCACCGAATTTTCTTTTATCCAAAAGGAAAGGTGAAAAAGCACAGAAAAGACCTTTGAGATTGTTTCTTGAGTTCGGCGGGTAGATTATGAAAAGAGAAGGTATTAGCACCCTTTTCATCCATGGTTTTCCATGGGCTCTTAGTTACTTGGTAGATCACTTGCTTTTGTTTGAAATTATGCTTTGTGTGGTTTTTGAAAGTATTTTGTAAAGAGGCCATTGTTTAGGCAAACTTTATAATGATTCTTGTTCGTAAGAATGTATACAAAGATGTTGATCTTTTGAAAATGTTTCAAGTTTGTAAGATGTTTTGAAAGTGTAGGTGTTTGTTTTGAAAATAGCAAGGATGTTTTGTTTTGAAATTGAGCAAGTAACTAGGAACATTCTACCTACTCAAAAGTCTTTCATGTTCATTTCCTATTTCCTTTGACATTATTATCTCACCATTGATTTGGTAAGTAACCCTATCTTTGGATGTAAACGGGACGGGCGTGGGTCATTGTATAACCATGATTAGTAATATTGTAAGGTATCTTAGCATTCTCTTTTTAGGGACTAAGATCATTTGAAAGGCAACATGGATAGCGTCATCGAGGGACTATGATCTTGTATTTTGCTTGTTTTTGCTAAGATACCTCACATGCGTAATATGGCCATTTAGTAAGGCAACCAAGTGGATTTACCCTAGGGGTGCTTGTGTGCAAGTGATTTACCCTATGGGAGGGGGTGTACAAATTTTAAATGGGGATTGCAAGAAAATAAACCTAATTAATCTATTACAACCATATTGAATTTGTACAAGAATTGAAATAAATAATGTACATAAATGAATAAATGTGCAAGAATGTAAATGCAAAGAAAATGAATCTTTGTTTGGATTTTTTAGAAGGAAAGAGTTTTGTTTTAACATAATTAACTAAAGAAAAATAATTAATTAAATTAGTAAAAAGTAAAACCTAAATTTACTAGAAAAAGAAATTAAATAAAACCCTAATCTATTAATTGATTAAAATAAATTAAGTTTAGAAGAAGAATATTTTTGGTATTTTTTGTCTTAAAAATAAATTATAGTATTATAAAATATTTTTGGTCTTTTTTGGTTTTAAAATAATATATTGTAATTGTGTAAAAAAAAATAACTAAACCCTAGTTTTTTTATTAAATTTACAAAATCAATTAGTAAGATAAATAAAGTAATGATTAAACATCCGCTTCTACCAGGTCCTTATAGTTACAGGCGCACGCTTCTATCACTGGGGTGGCTATACATCCGCTTATATAATCAAAACAACAAATATATGATAGTAAACAAGTCCATGGCTTGAACTTCATCTTCAACCTCACGCCCAGCCAGAGCCTCTGTATCTTATTCAAATCTCAACAAAAATGAAAAATGTAAACAAGAAACTTGTAGCGAATTTCCTCACGATTTCAGAAATGTAAAGCAATAAAATTAAAGATAAAAGATAAGCATGAATTTTAATGGCCCTAATCTGAACCCTAAAAATTTCAGAAACTTCAATCTTAAAATTCTCTAAGCTCAAACAAAATTAATGAAAACTATGGACATGGTTAGCTTTAGGGCAATGATATCTATATTTTTCATTCACAAATAAACCATTAATGATGCCTGTATGAAGAGTTCAAAAGTCAAAAAACTTACCTTGCAAGAGGGTATCGTGTTTGGAGTTTGAGTAACTTTTAGTGAGTTCCAATGATTAGATTAGCTTCCTCAAGTTCCCAGGAAGCTAATGGGATGCTTAGCTTGAGCTGAAAGCGCCTGAGGAGTTCTAGAGAAGTCAAGGTGCAAGGTGTCGTTTTTGAAAATGGTGGATGATGATGGAGGTGTTACAGTGGTGTTGTACCCCAAAATTTTCCCTCCCATATTTCTCAAAACATTTGCAAGAAAGATCCTCAAGTTGCTCAAGGAAGTCCAAGGGTTGACCAGACAAGCTCTCTCCTAAGGCAGTCTACCTCAAATTAGGGTTTCATGTTGCATCAAGATACTTGAGTCCAAGGGATCCCAAATACTCACAATTGTCCTAATATGTTCTCAAGATCATTCATGTCAAGTTTCAAGCCTTGCAGAGAAATTTTGCTAAGTCAATTGCTCAAATGCCTGAAAACCGACTGTGCTAGGGCAAAAGTCAACATTGGCTTACATACAATCAAACTTTAATATTTTTGGTCAAAATCTTCATTTTGAAGTATATTTCATCATTTGATCAAGGGTTGATCATGATTCATCAAGGATTGCTCATAAATCCTCAAGAACCAAAAGTTGTAAATTAAGGTTTTGTAGGAAAAGTCAACTCAACTTTGACCAAGCATAACTTTCTCATACTTTATGAAAAATGACCCATCCAAAGCGCATTTTGAAGAGGATGAAATGCTCTACAATCCATCTTCAGCTCCCAAGTTCAAAATATGCACTCACAAGAAGTTATGAATTTGGACATTATAGGTCATTTTGAAAAGTCAACAAAAACACCTTTTTTGTCAAAGCTTCATACATGAGCATGGGATACCAAATTGAGATGATACCAAAAGGGTTGATTAGAGGGCATCTAAATCTTTATAAAAAGTCCAAGAACACCTTCAAAGAGTCAAAATTGAGGAAGTTATGCATTGGTGAAGTTGACCTTTTTTGCAAAATTGCCAAAAGTCAACTATGCCTAAAACTTCAATTTTTGCCAAATGGGCCCAATCTTTTTCACTTGTTTTGAGTTGGCAACATAGTCCACGAGCTCTAGCCCTTGCCACTTGTCATTATCATGTTTTTATTATTTATTTTGATTTTTATTTGAATTAAATCAATTTTAATCAAAATAAATCATGAGAAAATCTAAAGAATTGAAAACTCGAGATTTTATACTTGTTTCAGGTATCAAATCCAGTTGGCAAGTATTTGAAATCGTGCAAGGAATTGGTGTGGACAAAAAGATTGGTTTTAGGATATTTTTGGAATGATATTCAAGAGAATCAAATCAAGATCAAATTCATTGATGGAGGAAGATTGAGATCAGTTTTGGAACCCTAATACATTCCTCATTACATATAGAAGGAATGCAGACCTAAAACTAGGTTAGAAAGAGGCGTGGGAACCAGAACAAAAACTGAAGAAAAAACACCAAAAAAT